CAAATTCGCGCCTCTCTCTCATTGTAATTTATTCATAAGACGCGAGAGCGCTGCCTACGCGGTTGATTCGCAACAATTGCTCATTGTAAAGGGCATGACATCATCCGCGCGCAGCTCTCAAGATCTGGAGCAGCGAGGATAAATCACACTTAAAATAATGCAGACCGGCGCGCTCTTTTCTTTTTGCTCCATAATCACACCCACATTATTTTAAATGTGCCCGCCTGGAAACACGCATTGTCCGTAATGGGGTCGCTGCAGGCGAAGGACCGGCGTCGGTTTTAAATTTTTATTTTCATCGCCGTAAAGGCGCAAATGGCACGGGCAAAATTCTCCATGCTTCGCGAAAACCACGCCCTGCATAATTTATTCAAGAGTCCATTGTGTTTCAGATGAAAATTTGTATCAAAACTTTAAAATTATATAGCCCTGGTGCCGATTTTATATTTATTTTAGTGCCATAATAAATTTAAGGGCAAAATCTTAAACAGAAAGAAATTGTTAAAATAGTTTTAATTAAACACGAATAATTGAATTTTCTTGACAATGAATTTGTCTGGAAATAGACCAATCTATTATATAAATTGACACATTGAGACTGGCCACTTCCTCTGCCTCTGGAGAGCATCTTCTCATCTCTTAATCCAACTGCTGCGCCACAAAGCGTCTGGAGCATTCCACAAATTGAAACGCGATATTTCCTTTCGCCAATCGAGCGCACAAAAGCGCGGCCGCTTTTTGCCAACTGTCTGCCTGTTGCATCTCTCTCAAGAAGCGCCTCCCAAATGTATATAAAACTCTGTAATCCGCGCCGTGCCCCCATGGCGAGTCGCGAAAATTTTCTTGATTAAATATAAATTCACTCTCAGCTTTTCTTGAAGGGCCACTTCAGATGACATCACAGACACGTCCACCAAGCACTTTGAAACTTTGTGTATATGAAATTGTCCTGCACGGACATGCTTTATCTCACTGGCACGAAAGAGTAGCGCGTGCTCTTTCATGCACTTCCCACGGCTCTACAAAAGAAAGCAATGCGCTTTTTGTGCTTCCGAAAACATTGGTTTTACTAAAAGTACACAACGAAAATTACGTGTGACAAAATGTTGAATTTTTTACAGCAGTTCCGTTTAGTCAAATATTTTTATAAAGATTTATATTTTTAATGAATAGGGCATAGATTGAAAGCTCTGATTTTCTCTCTCAAGCTGATCGGATTAACAAGTTGGGGCGCGACACCTTTTACGGATCAGAATCTTTTATATATGGAGCTCTCTGACATTGAAAAAGGCGCATATTTATATTTGAAAGGCGTCGCCAGGGCAGCTGGAAAATTATTAGGCGTACACGATGGATTGTTAATCCCATAAATATTTAAACATATTTTAGCACTCACGCCGCGCTACCGCGCACACACATCACGGCTTTTAACCCTTTGCTCTCCTCGGAAAATAAGCTTCCATTAAGAGCCGTTAAAGGAATGTCACGTTATATATATTCAATCAAAAGTCTCGACGGAGATAATAAGTTTCGGGCTTTTAGAAAAAACTTAAGGAACAGGTATTTGTAGAGAGGCACATGCTTGAAAGTGAAATGCCAACGCCTGCGCGAGAGGAAGTTGTAATATTTCAATTCGAGCTCAAAGAGGCTAATTCACAAAAAGTGAAACCTGTTGCTTAAACGAAATTATTTCAGCCACGGAAAAAATGAATACAGAGAGAGAAGTGGTTACGCAGAGCCAGATTTTATTGCTTGTTGCTTTTTTCAAGCTGTAATGAATAATTCGCAAGTAAATGGAGCGGCCCGACCGGCAGCGAGAGAAAAGGTGTGTAATCCGGGCACCATTAAATTATATGAGAGAGCGAAAATAATTCACTTTTACTGGAGAATGCTTTTACTTTCTGGCATGACTTCGACTCGGAAGTTAATTAATTAATTAATGAGCACATAGCCTTGCATAACTTTCACTCGTAAATCGAGAAGTTAAGTCTAAAAAGTAAAATCAATGAGGAAATAAATTGAAATAAATATAATGAAAAATGCTTCAGTTCGCTCTTCTTATATAATAAAATATAAAAAATTAAATCAATAAATTAAACGATAAAAAGTTATCAAATTAGTACTGCGACTAATCGCCTTGACGTGGAATTACGTTCCGAGACAACGAGATATTTTGAGACAAAGCCGGTGTAAAAAAGTTAGAAAAATTCCTGTTGTGACAATAAACAATTTTAATTGAGGGCGAAAATTTCCCAAAATTAAAATTCTTTAAAACCACCCCAATAATCTGTCCGTATTGTTTTGTGCTGTACTAATTTAATTATTTCCCGTTTCGAGTGGTTTCTTTGGGTTTTAAATTCTTGATAAAAAGTTAATTTACTTTGAAATAAAAATTTAATTGAATTTTTAATTAAATATTAAAAATAGATAATCCGAATATCTAATTAATTAGCGCTACTAGAGGCGATCGACGCCAGATGTTCGCAATCTTGGCTCATCATGCAGCATTACAAGTGTTCCAAAAATGGCCAACAGCGTGGCACGTACCAAGTTAGAAACGGCTTTTATTCCTCCCTCCCGAGCCCGTTTCTCAAAGTGGACACAAGAGCGGCCGCTCGCTCGCTACCTTACATTATTATATTCCTCATCGGCACAATCGGCAATTACCACAAGCAAGACCGGCCTCTCCAGCCACAATGTGTAATTTCAGCCAGCCGGCCTCAGTTTCTTGCGAGCTGCAATATTATATTATTTATATATTTCAGCAGCTTTATGATCCAATAGTGATTAAGAAGAAGCCGCAAACCGCATTTGCGCGCAAATATAATTTAATGCCGCCGCTGATAAATATCTTCTCTCGGCTAAATCATCATAATAAACAATTTTTTTCGTTATTATTGCCGAGCGTGTGCTGCAGATTCGATCATTGTGATTACAAAGAGTGCAAGTTTTGCGATTCTCTTCACATTCTATGCTCAACTTGTTTTTCGAGCGATAAAATCGAGCTTTTGAGAGATAAGGAAATTTATTTCTCATCATCTATAACTTGTTGGCGGAACAAATTGCAAAACGAGTCGAAAAAATTAACCAAAAGTGGAATCCAATGAGGCATCAAACCAGTTTCTAACTGAATTATTTTTCATATCGCCGTCGGTTAGTCTGCGAAAGAGGATTTTTCTCAAATCCGCAGCTTTTCCCACATTTCCTCTGCGCTAGTTTAGAAATCTCGGCACGTATATTTTTTTTTTAATCAGTGCGTGATGTTTTGCGCACATGCACCACACGCTGAAGAGAGACAGGTTTTAAGTGTATTATATGCACTCGAACATTAGAGCAGAGCAGTGTTTATTACACTTTGCAGCAGAAGAAGCCAAAGATGTGCTTCTGCTCAGCATCTTGAGCAGGATTTTAGCCTTTTAAGCCCGCGTGCATCTCACAAAAACAGCACGGAGCGCACGTTTACTTGCGAAACAACTACTTGTTGCTACAAAATGTTCAACTTGCTTTAAATTTTTAATTATATTTTATTAATTCACTAACAATAAGACTTCCGAGAGCATTTCTACCCAAATATTTATCAACAATTTACTTCATTTGCAATGCTTAGTCTTCATAATGAGTTTTATAATGTCTATATTTGAAATAAATATTTTAAAATATCCTACAGACTATTTAAATTGGATGAAAATTAAATTGATTACAAACAATTAAAAAAAATATTAATTCAAATAAAAATAACTTAAATTAAAAATATTGATCTAAAAGAATTTTATAATTTTAAAAAATTTGACAATAAATTAACTTTCATAAAAGTAGACTCCTTTTTTTGAAGGTTATATAAATTAAAAAAGTGTCAGACAACAATGCATACGGAAATATATGTGTTTGTACTTTTTCATCCGTTTTTGGATCAAGGAATATAGAAAGTGGACAACGGCTACTTCAAACGGGCCGACGTTGTACTTTATTTTGCCTTCATTTCCCTGCATGACCTGAATAAATTAAAACGTTTGCGCCTATATATTGAAATGCACTCGACGTCGCCGGCGACAATTAACTCCGAACATGGGCATGTCCTTCCAACACGAGCCACTGTCCAGCTCGATCTATATTTGATTAATCGAAAACGTCAAACCTTAGAAGGCCTGCAAAAACAATGTGTACAGGTTTCCAGCGAAACAATCAGATCACATTGTGTATGTATCCGTCCTGCACGTCAAGTGCATTTTGTAATTACACGAAACCGCTTTTTGCGTTCGCTGCGTCGCCAGCTCGTCTGATGCATTTTTATTCCTAATACGGCGCATTTCGAACAAGTGCACTTCTATAAAGAGAAACTTGGCGAGCGCCGATTTGGATTTCAAATGAGATTTGAATTTGAAATCGCGCAAGGCCAATGATCCGTACAATAAAAACGTTTTTTTTTATAAAAAAAGAAGTTTATTTGCCGAGGTAGAAAAGCTGCACGTGCTTTTGCTCGATTGAAAAAGAAGCGGTCGTAAATAATTCCGGTCGATTGGACGCGGCCTGTCGTCGAGAATCGGGGCGGAAAATCACGGACAAAAGTCAGAGGGTTGTTTTATTTATTTCTGAGAAATTTTTGTACAAAAAGAGCCAAGGTCGCGAAACGTCTCACTTTCGATTCTGGAAAATAATTTTAGTTTCCCTTTCGAATGAATAAATAAAGAGGTCTGCTGTTGTTTGTGAAAATATTATGGACGCGAAAAAGAAGAAACACGAATTCCCTCTTGGACGAAATTGACAACAAATTGATCGCGCGGCTCTTCTTTTTTATAAATTCAGGGCGTGCCGCGCTCGATCACAAATAAATTACAACTTTATATCCAGGCAGATTTCAAAGGTGATGTATGCAAATGGCATGGGTTGTGCCTCCTTTAGATTTTATCTCGGAATAATTCAAATTTCATTCGCACTCGGATTCATGAATTATTAAAAGCTAAATTTTAAATTATATGGAAATAAATTATACAAATTCTCACCTTCCCGTCCAGTCGCACTCGTCGGCGGTCACGGTTTCGGACGCGGTCCGCGCGACCAGGCACGCGAAAATCACGAGGACGGCGACTCGCGCCGTCCGCAGTGTCCGAAGGTTGTGCAGAAAAGAGCACCGCAGGGCCATGGCTGTTGGTCACTCGCGCCAAGCGCCGTCGATCATCGCACGACACGAAAACTGGCGCTGCGTCCAACGAGACAATCCATATTCAGCGAGGGCCGCGCACACTCGGTGGTCGGACGTGTTCACTGAATCGAAGCCAGAGACTCTCTGATCTCCGAAAATGAAGTGAGCGCGAGCGCGAGCTCAGCACGAGTCTCCCCTTGTCGAGCCGAGCGCTGCGACGGACTGCACGAGAACTACAATAATAAATTAGTTCTTTTTATTTATAACTTGATTAAATTTAAAGATTTTTTTAATACTTTTAAATTATAATGTCTTTATAATTATTTATTTAATGATATAAATATTTTCATTAAAAACGTTCATAATTATTAATTGTGGATCATTAATATTAATGATTTATATTAAAAAATGATTTTTTTTTATAAATAAATATATTAGCGCCGATTACAAATCGTGGTTCTGAAATAGTAAACATTATCTTTTATCTTTCTAGTTTCCAACAGATGGCTGTGCAAAAGAGCCAAAATATTTGTAATTCATGCTGATTAAGATAATTTACAACCATTTTATATTATATTTTACTTGCAACAGGAAATCGACGTTTCAAATCAAGATAACGAGGAGCTCTATCTACAAATGCAATCAAAACTTCTCACACTTTTCACATAAGATCAATATAAATTTTTGATTTTGACTAACATTGATTTTATTTTTCCGTCTTAATTCAAGTGATTTGGTGAAATTTTTGCCAATTACGTGCAAAAATGAATTTTCTTTTTAAAATCCCTGTTAAATTTCAAAAATTCAGTTATCTCAATGACATCAATTTTCTTACTTTATGTCTCCTTTGGAACTGATATCTTAATTAACAAACTAATGCTAATGTAGAGAAAAATTATTTTCACAATTAATCGGGCCGATTATTTTGCAAAAGCCTCTCCTTAATTTAACCAATTTATAAGTAAAAAAAAGAAATACTATTATACAAATTTAAAAAACTATAAATTTATTATTATTGCAATTGATACAATGCATTTGCAAAAACAGTTCATGTGCGAGGGATTGCCACAGAAAGTATAACATAAGAACATGGCTATAAGCAATTAATTGAGTTACGGTTTGGTAATTTGGGTTGCTCCGAGCAGGAGAGTCGGTTTTTGTCGCGCAAAAAAGGCTAATTCGTGCTATGGCTGGGGAAAGATATTGGTCTGGACTCACTCCAGTTTGCTCGGCGCGGCCACTTTTTGCCAAATTTGATTTGTTGCCGCTGTTCTCAATTTACCTCTTAGAAAGTTGTAAATTTGTTAGGAAATTTCCACATTACTTTGTACAGACTGCAGCGGTTCATGCATATCACACTAGACACAGAACTGATTTATATGTAGCGGTGCAGACAACTTCTATTTTGAGGCAAAATCCTCTAATTTGTATATGTCTCGCCTGTAATCAATTGCCCGGTTGCGATCCGGGTAGAGCCGAGGTACAATCGTTTTGTTCGTTTGCTTAAAACTTTTGTGTCCATGCATAAATTTTATACGGAACAAGAGTTCCTTGATTTCATGACACACTTGTAAATTTCTGTAAATTTGTTTAAATTTCTTTAACTCTTTCTCCTATCTTCCTTTGACCCAATTGTAAATCGGTGAATTATGTCTGAGTGCACTATTTGTAATATCACACCATAAGACAATAAAAGAGATGCAATAATAATAATAAAATATTAGTTTATATTTAATTGCACTGTAAAAACATTATTTAACTCCAAATCCGCAGGTGGGGAACTTTTCACTTGCAGGGCTTCATTTTAATTAAATGGCAGTGATTGGTTTTTATTGACTGTTCAAAAAGCAGAACAAAAGGAGAAAAATAAAATGTTGTTCCTCTCCTTGACGTCTTCTATTATATACAGATTGTGGTTGGAGGAAAAGGGTTGTATGGCGTCTGCTTTGGACGTCAGCACACAATTGACGACGAGGTTAATAGACACAATTAAAATGTGTTCTCTTGCCGAGTGCCGAGAGTGATGCAGCACTGTTTTCCAAGCTTTATTGTTTCACATTCCGTTGCGGCAAAGGAAAATCTTATAATGGACTAAACGTTTTGTATTAAGTATTTTCTGTTAATACAATTGATAAATTTAAATCAGGATACAATAAAATGGTTTCATCAATTTCTGTTATTTTTTTTCTCTGTTTAAGAGTAATTTGTTTCTAGTGTGTCAGAAATTTTTCCAAAACACATGACGGAGTTTTATTTTCAAGCATGACCACTGAGCAAACAAATCTTGCCCTTCACTCTCAGCACAAGTCCGTTTGCGGGTGTCGTAAAATTATAGAAAACAGGAAGTTTCCTATTGCACCACGGCCATTTATTCTCCTCTGGACCTTTTTTGAGTGTTAAATTGTGTACATTTGTAAAGAGCGAGCGGCGAAACCTTCTTTTTTTTTTGTTATTCTTGCGCTGCAGCGGACACATGTGTGCTTTTATTCTTTGCGTGCTTTTCAACTCAAAAGTGGTCAGCCAGCGACAGGATGAATAAAATAGTATAGAGGGAAATGAGCTACGAGTTTAGCCAAAGCACCGCTTTTTTATACATAAATCTTGATTTTTTTTTATTCACGGCGCCGAATGAAAATATTACTCATAGACACGCCAGTGTATTTATCACACGAAATGTGACAGGTGCTTTTGGAATTTTCTAATGTGTTTGTTGTATATTATAATGCCTAACCCACCATACATCGCGACCGACAGACCGGAATAAAGAATAACTCATCGCGATCGACTCTTGATGTGCAGTGTTTGTTTTCTGAGAAGCAACTCGAGCGTGATATGAAAAGAAATCATTGCAGGGAATTTGATTCATTCCAAAAGAGAACATGCTAGTAAAAGAATCTCTATAAATATCTATTATTTTGTGATCAACTGACGTTAAAACCGCAAAGCACAAAGGAGGCTTATTACTGATTTTTTTAAAAAAATTATTTGCTTCATCGTAAAAAAAAAAAATCTCAAATGAACGCATTTGAGCATTTAATAAAAAAAATGCATTCATTTGGAAGTATAATAACATTTATTAATTATAAAACCATTATAAATATCTGTTATGATGGTTAAATTGTAAATGTATGTTTTTTTAATGAAAAATTATAATTGCAGATCGAAATTGTTAGGAATTATTCACGGAGAACAAAGGGGGACTATATATTATTTCTATATAAAATATGTTGCAATAAGGCCTCCTGTGAGCGGTATACTTATATATTTAATTTGTTTTTGTAATATTTTTACTCATTGGGTGTAAATCAAGTAAATGAAGAGAAAAACAATTATTTAGAATATAAAATTAATTAATGTAAAATTATCAATAATTAAAATAATCTAAATATTAAATAAAACCAGTAAATAAATAACTAAAAAATAAAAATAAAAACTATTATGAAATTATTTTTGTTCTTTTCTATAGTTTCAATTTAATTTAAATTTTTTTACTCCAAATAAGTCAGATCAATTGTAAAAAAATTGGTTGGGAGAAAAATAGGCACGCAGTGCTAGTGAACAACTCACTGAAACTCATAACCGAGTATTTACCAAGTGGCGATAAATACCAGACTACTCGCCGCACTGCAGGGAAAAAATTTCAAATTTGTTTTACATGCTCTTTGCACAATTTTGGGAAATTATTTGACACACACGATTTTAAGACAGAAGGGAGGGAATTCCATTGTGGGACGCAAGGCAAAAGGGAAATGAGTAGAGGCCGAGATCGGTGCTCCTCATCACTGTTTCTGTTAATTATTTTAAATTTACTTACAATTTCCACAACAACTGTGTATTATTCTGTCTATTAATTAATTTGGTCACCGTTATTAATAGGTTTATTAGTCAGGAACCAAATAATATTATCCAGGCGTGAACAGGAGCTGCGGCTTAAGGCAGGTCACTCGTGGGTCATGGGAAGCATTTCAGGTAGCTGTCCGCGTCAGGTCAAAATCGGCCCTCCCACCCATCAGCCAAAGTGCCCGATCCACTTAGCGCCACGGTGATAATTATAGATCTGCACCCGCCATATCTTTCTCTCGATCAAAGAAAGAGAGAAAGAAAGACGAGGGCAGTGAAATAGAAAAAAGAGATTTGTCAGCATGAGAAGATTTGGCTGCTGTGGGAAATTGAAATTGAATTTCGCCAAGACAAAAATACCCTATTCAGCTTCCAAAAGGTGATTAGTCATAATTTATCATTTCACATCTGACGTTTTTATTTCACAAATTCGTATTTAGGAATGCGATCACGGATTTTCGTCTTGCTTTGACAGAAGGTGATTGGGCTAAAGTGACATTCTAAAGATAACACAAGATATCTCATATATAGGATTTATTTTTAAAGATCCACTCCGGTCATTTGTGTTGCTCTTTATTCTGAAAGATTGCTTAATTTCGAGTATATCTTGTGAAAAAACCATGTGAAAATTCAAAAACGTTGCGTCTCAATCAAAAGAAAACCTAAATACGAGTGATTCGCGAGAAAAACGTGTGAGAATTGAGTAGCCAATCAGATCCATCAGTTTGTTCCAAAAACTACAGAATTTGGTCACATTGGCGCTGCGATCGCTGATTTTGCTACTAATGCCCCACGGCGCTGCAGAAAACTTGGAAAAATCAGCGATCGCAGCGCCAATGTGACCAAATTCTGTAGTTTTTGAACAAAACTGATGGATCTGATTGGCTACTCAATTCTCACACATTTTTCGCGCGAATCACTCGTATTTAGGTTTTCTTTTGATTTGGAATTTTCAAATAGTGTTTTCACAAGATATGCTCGAAATTTAGCAATCTTTCAGAATAGAGAGCAACACATTTGACCGGAGAGGATCTTTAAACAAGTATTATAAAAATGTTCTTTTTTCTTTTTATGGTTTGTTTTGAACGTGTATTTGGGACTCTTTGCGTTTTGTTGTTGAACCTTGACGCCTCTTTCTCTCGTTCCTAAATGAAACCGTAAACCTGATCCATGCGTACACAAAATAGGCCTTTTCATTCAAAAATTACAAAAAAAGGAGCATGCCGTGTTTACAAAATAGGGAGCGAGAGCGGACAAAACAAAACGCGTGATGCATGCTTCCTCTCATCTGCAGAAGCACAACTAATC